AACCAGAAACATGAAACATTACTACTTACAGAAGCTATGGTTCCTAAAATGATCGTTTAATTTTTATATAGTTATCTATTTATTATTGTATAGTAATTTCTTATGCGAAATTGCCATAATATTATGATATAATAWAGTAATTATGATTTTGACAAACACTAAAATTGAATAATAACCATGGAATAGATTACTCTGTACTTGCGTTCTTTATAATTTTTTATAAATTTTATTATTTCGTTTACATCAATTTTTTCTTCAAACAATTCAATACTACTTGTAAATTTAATTTTGAACAAACTTACGTTCTATTATTAAAAAGTTTTTCAATAAGCTTAAAAATTTAGTTAATATTAAAGTTTACATATTATTAGTTGTACATGATGGATAAGAAATGTTGCAATAGTACTTATTTACATTATCTAGGTATTATTGAACATTGAAGCATGGTTTTTTTTTATGTGTGTGATTCTTTTGTTACTATTATTACTATTAATACATTATATAATTTTTTGAAGAGCTACGATACTGACATTGGAAGCTAATTTGGAGGAAAACAAGCGACTTTATAAAGAACGAACCCACTATTCGTTACAATTGAAAGAGACTTTAGATCTTGTGAGAAAAGAAGCCGCTCTACAAGTGACAGAAATCAAAAATTTTTCTGAATGTCAGATGCTTAAACATGTTGAATATATAAAAGAGTTAGAACAAAAGTTGGTCGAACAAAGAGCAATAGCATGTTTAGAATTTCAAAAACGTGACCAAGTGAGCATTGTTCTGAAAATACACGACATGCATTTAATTTATTATACAATAATTTTGGTAGAAAATTATTATGCCACATGATTGTTATTCTATTTTTTTTTTTTTAGCAAATTATATAAAACTGCGTAAATAGCAAATTTATTAAACGTTATGATCTAGCATATTAAAATATTTCTGGTAGACCAAACAATACCTTAGCATATTATTTATATTTTTTAAATATAAACGATATTTTGGATATGTACAATAGAATATAGATCATTAAGGAAATATGAGGTGGAAAATTGAAATGATGAGACCCAAAGGAAGTCACTTGATAGCGAAACCTTAAAGTGAAATTCTGTAGAGAATTAGTAGATTCCTTCATTAGATCCTTTCAAGGATTCAGGGTTGGTTAAATTTTGGTATGTACACTAAATAAATTTCAGGGAGTCACAAAAGTTTTGGCGATCATTAGGGGTGTACTCAGCAAAATTTTGTTTWGATTTATAAAATTATTCTGTGATACTATTGGCTTCTAATTTATCACTCAATAAACCATGTTTTTCCAGTTAATCTCGATTTATTGTAGATATATATCAATAGTTGACATGATGTGTATGATTTTCACTAAATAAATATTTTTGCTTTTGGGAAGTTACGTAAGGTATTTTATACTCTTAAAATCTTTTGAGGCGTAACTTGTTGAAGTATACCTATAATTATTATCATTTGTAAATTAAAAAAAAAAAAAGATTTTTTTTCTATAAYAGAAGTAGTGTGACTCCTAATAAAACATATACCTATTGATTGTATAGTAGTGTAAATCCATCTATATAAAACTTATCATATTGTTATGTAGTATTTTTTGGTATAGATAGTATCATTAATCATTAATTATTCATTGCATTTTTGTTAAAATGTTTTATAGATTGATGAACGTTTAAGAAATCAAATAGAAGTATTGACAACAAATTTAAATGAAGCACAAAAACAAATAGGATTAATAATYAATGCAAAACATTCAATGGAAGATAAAATCAGAGAAGATGTATGTAAAATCCCTAGGGTACTAAATTCAGTGTGTAATATTTTAAATACTCCAAACCATTTAAATACACTAAAAGACAATTAAAATATATTGTGTTAATAGCAATCAAATATACTTATGACAAATTGAAATTGTATATTATTATAATAATTGAACGATTAATAAATATTAAATTTTATTTGAAAATAATAATTAAAAATTAGCTTTGTAAACTTTATATACTATACTATATATTTTAAATCAATAAACCATTTGTGACAAAATTAATTTTTTTTTTTAAATAAGTATATATAAGCTTGAATAATATGCCAAAATATTTATTTATACTTGTAAATACAATTTACTTTTAATATTATAATACTACATTATAGCAAAAGTCTTAATTTAGGAGATATCCTTAGAAAGACGCAACTATAGGAACTAAAAAGGCCGCCCTATTTTACTAACATAACCTATGGGAGTTAGACACCTATTCTATTTGTAATCAAAGCCAAATAGATTAGCCAGACTGAATATGCCCTTATGGTACTTGTCTTCAAAAGAGAGGGAATGTAACCAGGAAACTAACTACTAAGCGCTATCACAGATATCATAGATTCTGGTCGACCAAGTGAATAGTAACAGAGCAGAACTAGCAATAGGTGACCAGACGAAATCGAAATCGAAATAATATGTATAAATATGTATAAACCACGTCATGTTAAAAGAAAAAGTGAAAACATAGGTCAAAAAATCTGTCTTCCTAACAGCTAGGTTCCATCATGGACAATTCTCGTATCATGCATTAAACAAGCAGCGATCATATATGCATATAATATACACATAACGACACACACCCACC